GGGATTTAAACCCAAAAAAACATTGTACTATTATTGTTTTGGGACTGTGAAAATATAGAAATAACAAACTTCTGTTTTGTGTACAAGTGACATTATTGGAGGAAAAAAAACTAGTGGACGACATTATTTGAAAATCTTAGCACCATATACTTATGAAACTTCATTCCCAACTCCCAAGTGATGTGATTTTTACAATAATCTCGTATTTGGACTCAACCATTTGCCCAATATAACCAATCTTTGAACACCCAAAAGCCATAGTCGCTTGTTACGCGTTTGAACCTCATGCCACAACCGGATACGATGAACACGTTGCAACACCTGGCAAAATCAATAAGAGAAAGAGAGTTACACATACTGTATTCTTGGGTTGAACGAATAAACCGAACCGAACCAAACTAAATTTTAGTTCTCGATTTTAAATTTTCTTCGCTAAAGACCTAAGCCGAACTAAACCGTAATGGAAGCTGGTTAAAACAACATACCACACATGTTCTTCCCCATTTCCATCTTGAAGTATCCATTGTCTCCCCAATCACCTCCCCATGAGTTCTTTATAAGCCAGTACGGAACTCCTTCTTCAACTCCATAACTAGCTGCTAACACAGCATGGTTTACATCCTGTTCCCACCAAATCCCCGGTTTAATTACCAAATAAAATAATGACTTTAACCTTTTTGAATGTGGTTTAAAGAAGAAAAAACTTACCATTGGAGTGTTTCCACAAGTCTCGCTAGTAAAAACTCCCTCTTTGTAAAACCGGAATTCATGTACAACCTCAAATGCCACACTAACTGGCCTTACCAACCCTACTGCGTGCTTCAGTTCATCTTCTGCACCCTATTGGTCTATTAGAGCGTGGATATTGTAACAAGAGTGAATTGAGTTGCAAATGAGGCTTTACCAGGGTAATGTTGACAGAGTCGAGAACTTTTACACCGATGTTTTCAGCCGAAAATTTGTATCTACCGTCTATTCCGCTGTACGGGTAAGCTTCCTCGGTGTCAAGACCACCGTTGTATTTGATGTATTCAAAAGCTTGTGAAGGAAGTCCACCATGGCAACCAAAGTTATTAAAAGTCCCAGTACAATCCACAAGTTTTTGCTCCGATAGCGATATTCTTTTTCCGTATGCTTGATGGTAAGCTGCCTCAAGAGCTCCAGTCGTGCTGAAATGAAAAGTTGGATCATCAGTGATTATGATCTCGCTTACACGATACACCAATAAGAGATATATGGTTCAATATCCATAGACTTTACCTGAATGTCCAGCAAGATCCACAATGTCCCTGATATTTGACAGGGCTAACGATACCATCTTCTCTCCAATCTTTCTGCAGTTACACAATCTGAGAAACCCAAAACTCATAGTTTCCAACTATAAAAAATGACCACGCACCAAACTTTCTATCTTAAGATGTTAAGCGTGGGCTTCACGTTAAGCGTAGCCTACAAGTCTTGCAAATATCTTCTCCATAAAGTCTACTGCCTCTTATGTATATTGTCGTATATTCTTTAGGAGATTGCTATCTCGTTAGTTTCCTTATGCTCGTATCCAAGGTTGTATATAAGTTGTAACCTATTTACTCAACACGACAACACAAATTCCCTAGACGTCGGTCTTTTGTTCATGATATCAGAGACAGCCAAAACTATGACTGATTTGATAACCGCCGCGTCTAAGGGAACCGATACTCTGAAACCAGTTGCTCCGATGTATCAATTGGCGGCTAAT